TTTATGGACATAGAATAGGCTTATGAAGTAAAAGGGAGGTTAAGCTCTCAGGGCCCAGCAAGTCCTTAAAGAGGGTTTTGAACTTGTGAGCATTACTCTTAGGGCTTGCCTTTAGGAAAACTGACAGCTGTATGTCAAAATAAGTATTGGAGGAAAGACATCATTCAGGTGCAAGGTCTTTGTGCTTTTGACCACCATGATGGGAGAGTTCTAAGAAGGCAAGACACAGTGACTTTCCACATACTCCTTGGGCGGGGGCGGGGGGGGGCGGTTATATGTTTTGGTCCTTCCACACATGTGGTGTATTCCCAGTGATACGCTCCCCAGGCTGCTCAGGTAAGAAATAACTTCACCTGATTAGTCCTCTTCCACACAGCAACAACACTGCTTACCAAGACCTTTTCGGGGATGTGTTCTCTCAACTCATGAACAGGCTGAGGTTTGGGGGAGCAGCCGCTTAAAATGCTTCTTACCCAGCTCTCTAATAGAGAGACCATTATGGGATTCTTGTGGGTAGCACAAGCTCTTCTTCCAAGGAATGACCCAGCTAAGGAATTCAAGTTTCACTAAGGTGCCATCTAGAGCCCATACTCTTCCAAGGCTGCGTGACTGGCAACAAGAACCACTTCTTTGTTGGGCTCTCTGTGTACAGGTGATGTAGATAAGTGCATGTGCCCACAAGCCTAGCAACAAGAAGGGTGCTCCGAGAAGCTGCAGTCTACTTGGGGCTCCAGCCAGTGTGCCTGAAGCATAGAGCCAATCCTGCAACTCTGGCTGCACTGATTGGAACTGACAAGTGTTACTGGGATTTTTCTCCCTGGCCTTCCCAACACATGCATGCATGCACACATGCATGCCTGCATGCACACACTCATACACATGCATGCAAGTGTGTGCACACACTCACACATGCATGCACACACATGTGCACGATTGCCTTTGAAATGTTTGTTATATCCACTTCCAGCAGTTATGTGATGAGGCATGTTTCTGTGAATTAGAAAGTTTAGATTCTTTCCTCAGCCGTCCCCATCCTAAGCCCCCTTTTCCGTATGACTTAAAGCCATAAAATACTTCTGCCTGCCTGCCTTTAGTTCTGTTTGTATGAATTAAGTTGACAGGATAAATATTCACATTCCCAGCTACAGGCTGAAACAATGTTTGCCTGTTCTGACCAGTGAGTCGAGAAAAGGGGGAACATGGTCTGACATCACCCTATACTGTACATTCCCAGCATAGATCATTTATTTAAGTCCCTAAAAAAAATACAGATGTTTTACCAGCCGAAATAAAATCCTGTGTAAACATGGAGCTTGGAAAAGTATGTCACTGACTTAGCTGGGGTTACAGCAATGCAGGAAGAAGACAAGCAGGAAGGCAGATGCAGGCGGGTGTTCTGGGCTGAATGGAACAAGGAAGGAAGTACTTGCCAGTCTATATGCTGCAAGGGAAAAAGACTGGATTTATTTATTTTTTTTTTGTTTTGTTTTAGCAAAATCCAGCTGCAAAAACAAATCAATTAGCATTTGATCATCAGAGTTTAGGATCATTGATGGTTATAATCCACTCACCCCCTTTAAGTCTGACCTTTGGAGTGTCTCTTTTTCTATTAGAGTTGGTCTTTTTCAAGGCTTGCCTAAGCCTGCGCTGTGACTGCTGGGCCTGTTGGCTCCTATTGATTTTAAAGGGGAAAACTGGCCTGAAAGCCACACTTGGGAAGAAGAAACCTGTCTCCCTGAACAGCCATCGATCATCTTGATCTTGTCCCACCCAGGTCACTGTTTTAGTTCTGCAGCAGAAACCAGACAGACTTTTCTGGTGCCGTGGCAGGCTTTTTCATTGAATTGCCTCATGACTCTTCTTAGACCCACAACATTTATTCAGAATGCACTACATTTGTGCTCTGCAGCTGCTTCTAAGATTCTGGGCTGCCCAGATGGACCCCACACTTCCTACAGATGCCTGCATCCCCACTCCCAATCTCTCTATATTTAGAGTCTAGGTAGAGGGAGACCCTAACTGCTTCCAGGTTCTCAATGTGATATCTCATTAAGGCTTAGTTTTTCAGTGCAAGAAATACAGGACCCGCCTGCCCTTCGTGCAGTACAGCCTCTCAAGGACCACCCCTCCCTAGGGCAGGACTGACCAGTCCCTGCTTTTGGTAGCCAGGGCATGCTGCTGCCTACTTAGATTAGGCCTGCCTCTTCATGACTGAGGCATAACTATCCCATTTTGTTTTGTTTTGTTTTTGTTTGTTTGTTTTTAATGTGAGATGTTGGGGTGCAGAGGTACCACAGCATTCATGTGAAGATCAGGGAACAACTGTGTACGGTCGCTTCTCTACTTCCGCTTAAGCTTGGGTCCTGAACTCTCCTCTCCTTGTTCATGTGGCAAGGCTCTCTGCCAGCTGAGCCATTGGGCATAATTATCTTCTGGCAGCAACGCTTTCTTCTCTTTTTCATCGATGACACCTCTAAATCCACATTAGGGATCTACTGTACCTAGAAGTAAACTGTCTGTCCTCTGTTCTAAGGTGAAGAGAGGAGCAAAGTTCCCTTCTGTCTCAAAAAAAAAATTGCTGTTTTGTATAACAGATGGCTAGCTAGAGAAAGCATCACATAGATGTCCCCCACTCCACATCTCAGTAAATGAGATGTCAAGTCCAAGCTCATGCAGCCCCCCCATCTCACTCTCAGACCCGTGGGGATGCCCTTCTGACCCTGGTTTTGAGAGGTCGCAGCCTTGTGCCCCCGCTGGCTCTGCACTTGTCGGCACTCCCAGCTCTCTGCTGGGTTCTTCTCCTTTCTGGCTGAAGCTCTAGCTGCTCTGTGCTTGGCTACAGCTGTTTGCAAGTTATCCCAGGCCTGGCCTCAGCCATACTCTCCACCAGCACTGTAGGCAAAGTGAGGAGAGAGAAGAGGGGCCTTGTCTGAGGGACCAGTGGCTCTTTCCTGAGTTTCCTGGCCTTCTGTCTGAACTTCACACCTAATTATTGCCTGGTTTTTCTTGAGCCCAGTGTTACAAACGACATGTGAAGATGGTTGTGCATTCAAATATTTTCATTAATATTTCTCTGAAACACCAATCTATTTTACACTTGCTTGTAGGCCTTACCTCTCCTTCATCGTCTTACCACCCTTTTCCTTTTCCTGCCCTGCCCTGCTCTGACATGTGCCCAATTTGTATTGTGCTGCCTCTTTCACTTGCTTCTTTCTACCAGGTTTGCCTACATGCACCTCTGTATCCACTTGTCAGGTGCAGACAGATCACTCTCTGTCCTTGGTGAGTAACTAGGATCACAATTGTTGTCTGGTTTGTGCCCACGGTGACAGAATTGATGGGCCCGTAGGCTGACATGCATAAGCCAGAGCTACCAAGCGTTTCAAAAACAGTCTTGTTTTTGCCAAGCAAGGTGAGCAAATATAGGCCAGAGCTTAAACATCCACCGGGGGTTATTTCTGAAGTAATTGCTTCTAAATGAGAAGCATTTGAAACCTCACGGCTCTCTTGACAAGTAAATTCCACAGTCGTGTGTTTTGCTGGTGTCTGCTGATTAATTACAGCACTGTGACACATGAAAGCCCTGGTGGTTGGTTTAGTGCAGCTGTGGAGAAAAGAAAGCAAGGCCCAGTGACTTTGCCAACTCTTTTGGGACAGTGGGGATTGAGGCCGAGGGAGGTATTTTTCCCTCTGGCAGTCACCACATAGGAACAGAAGCCCCAGCCAGCCCAGTTCTCCAGGCTCTGTGCCGGGTGGTTTGGTCCCTGCAGGCTGTGGTGAGAGAACAGCATCTGACCTGGTATGTCAGAGAAAACAGGTTCTTTGTTAGAGAAAGTTCCTCAGTGTTCATACACTCCAGTATACTCCTGCTTCTGAGAAAAGCTACATTGGGCATGGTGGTCTACACCTGTAATTCCATCAGGAGGCAGAGACAGGAGGATCGGATCCTGTTCCAGCCTTAGCTACATAGGGAATTTGAGATCAGCCTGGGCTACTTGAGCTCTTATCTCAAGGGCCTTGTGGCTCGTGCCTGTAATCCCAGCACTTGGAAGACTGGGACGCAGACTGGGAGACGGCACTATGCTTGCATGCGGACTACCCCAGGAGCCCACATAAAGCCAGAGATGACAGCTCGTGTGTCTGTAATCCCAGCACTAATGGCATAGGATTCAACAGAAAAAAAAAAAATACTAAAAGAGATTTTAAAATTCTTAATGTGTTTATTGGTAATTTGTTTCTGTCATCCTCCTCATCTTCTTACGTAGATGGTGGAGTCAATCAAAGGAGTTGTCTACCATGAGCCTTTCAGGTCAGAGAACCTTATCTACCCTCAGTCTCATTCATTCTGCCCCAAAGATTTCTGCTCCTCACAGAGACAATGTGGGCCATTGCTGGATAGGAGTCTGCACACTCCTATCAGGTTTGCTTGTGTAGTGATACAGTGCCACCATCCTAAATATAAACTCTAGAGAGACTCCAGGATCTGCCCTGTCAGCTTTTCATTCTGGTAGATAATTGCCATGAAAATGTCAAGCGTGTGCACACATCTGACTGCTGAGACGCCACTGCCTGCTTCCTCTGTGCTGTGGTGTGCCTCCCTCATTAGCTATACTGTCCTAATGAACCCAGATTTACGTCTAAACCACGTAGACTCATAGTCCTTTCCTGTGCAAAGCTCTGGAGTTTAGTTTCATGTGAGACAGCTGACATAACGGTAATTGCACTTCTTTACTCAACTCAGCGGATAGGTTGTTTCTAGGGGAGACGCTCTTGAAGCAGATGATCCCCATCTGGGGAGTCCGGGCCCTGGACTTCTCTCCACTGCTGTGTCCTCCCACCCAGCAATTTGAGCTTGCTTTCCTGTGCAGACTGGAACCTCATTCTGCAGGTGTCTGTTTCCTTTGAAAGAACTGTTTTGAGAAAATCTAAGAGGGAGGACCTGAGCATTTATGGAAAACATTTTCACAGCAAAGCATTGCTTTTTCTCTTTTCCGGTTCAGGTTTTTCATTTGTTACAAGCCTACGTTACAGACTCCAGACACAGAACAAATGCAGATTTTCAGCAGGAACTAAGTGACGTCATTGTTTGTACCAAAGCCAAACTCTGGCTAGCCACAAGGTATGTAAAAGCCCCACGTGATGAGGCATCATCTGGTTAGCGATGTGTTTTGAGACTGCTGTTTCCAGTTGTGAGGAGTTCTAAGCCACTCACTTGGGTTCCTCAGACTTAGAATATTTTAGACCTTTGCACTGTGGTAAAGAAAATATTTTCTTGACAATAAAATTGCTGAGTGACTGAGTCGGAGTGTGATAGGCTTCAACAGTTTGAAGTTTCTTCTCCTCACCCAGTACCTGTGTAGACCTTATTACTACAGATGCCAGCAGTTGACTGGTCTACATTGTACAAACCCTTAGGAGCCATGGCAGCTTCATGGCTAAAGATCCTTGGGTGACTTGAGCAGGCACTGACGGGAAATGAAAGGTGCCTTGGTTCGGTGGATAGAAGGATAGCATATTTCAGCAAAGCAGAGGGGACTTTTCTTATTTTTCTTTTGTCATTCCTACCAGTATTTATTCTGAAACTTGGAACATAAAAGATAAAAGAATAAAAAGAACCTTTCATTTTGTTATATGTAGAGAATATTCTAAAACAGTGTTCAAACCTTCATTTAGGTCCTCAGTTCCTGGTAAGACAGTGTCCCTGCAAGGGCCTCTGAATGAATTAACTCTGGCAAAGGTTGTTAAGAAGAGGCAAGTGTGCTCCCTTACCATACGTCATGCCATGGCATGCTGCCTTGGGTTTTGAGTTGATATTTTGTCATCTAATGTAACACCTACTCCCTTTTTGTTTGGTAAATGTTGTGCTTCTGTTCATTTTTGTTGGAATCCCCACTCTGTGTGGGAAGTCAAATAACGGGCTTTGTGAGGGTCCTAGTCACCCCAAGCAAAGCATTGGTATCTCTGGTACCCACAGAGGAGAGTGTACATGTAGAGAAGAAGCCACATGGCTTCTAGGAGGTTCGAAAGATGAGTAAACCATGTTTTTATTCAGTATTTTAAATGTGATAGCAATAAGTATAATACAAATGTAAGCAGTATAGGCATGGCCCAGAGGAGAGTTGAGTGAGGGCTAACGGCAAACTCACTCAGAGATGGCAGAATTTTGCCAAATGGCCGAGTCAGGGAGAATTCCAGGCATAGGTGCTACAGCATAGATAGAAAGGTGACATGTGAAATGATGGGATGATTCTCCGTGAGGCAGAGAAAATTAGGCAGACACACTGAAAGCTCTGAAGGAAAGAGAGTATGTAGTGACTGTTCAGTCAATACTTAGAACTGTGGGCCAGGGATATTGAGGGGGTGTTCTCTATCTGTAGTGCCGATATGGCAAGCTGCTGAATGGTTGGTTTCTCTAAGCCTGATGCCATTTACCTTCTGTGCAATTTTGTTGCCCTTAGCCTCTCTAAGTTACACTTCCTGGAAAAACAGAGACTTGGGCGGGGGGATCATATTTGCCCCTTAGCTTTTTCCCAAGAAACAGGTCAGGTCTTCCTAGCTATTATTTCTGGGGGTCAGGAAGTAGAGGTTCCCTGGAAATCATTCTGCTGAAACCCTCTTCCAGTCATAACTTCTCCACTCTCGAGCCTTGGCTCTGAAGCTGCTGTAAGGGAGGAACTCTGCCCCTTTTGCTTAGGTTCATTGGAGACTGTCTCCTGCCTGCTTTCTGAGTCCATTCCTTCTTGCTGCATGAGAAAAGATGGAGGAACAAGTCAACCCTTAATGGGCTTCAGTTCACTCAGTGCCTGAAGACAGCTGATAAAGTGGTACTTCTGCCCACCTACTCTTCAGCTAGAGAAGCCCTTCCTGCCGGGAAACATGCCTCTTGGTCCCTGTCTCTGTTGTCAACCTTGTCATTGTCATCATCCCTTACACCCCCTTCTCTGAGTTTGACTTCCAATTTCCTTAGCCTAGAAAATGAAGCCATGAATCACATGAGCTCACTGGGTTTCCACCTCCCTGCCCAGAGTACAGAAGAGCCACTTTTCCGTCTCCATTACAGTCAACTCTCTATTATCCAAGTGTGAACTTTCCCCTCAGTGGGTGGTCTGTGGATGGTTTCTAACACCAGACTGCCTCTTATTTCTCAACATACCTTTTTACAAGTATTAATTGGGGTGTGTTCAGAGCCTAGAATCGAGTTTGGAAGAAAATCCTGCTGCCAAAGCACAGCACATTCCAGAGCTTTGCACGAGCTGTTCTGTATTGTCCACATCATGGAGTGCTGCCCACCAGCCCTAAGTTGGAGGCCATAGAACTCCATATAGGTAATGAAACCTTCACCTGGCCCATGCCTACCTTATCTCTGAGGGCCTCGTGCTATGAGTGGTATTTGTCTGTACCAGTTAACTGCATGCTCAGATGAACCCATCTGGGGTCATGGTAGTCACCTCAAAGCAGATCTTTCTTCCTTTCTCCCTGCCTTTACCATGGAGATGTTACAGTGCAGAGTATTCCAAATTCAACTGCTGAAGAGGCCCCTTTATTCCTGATCATTTACACATGAAAGATAAATGTGCCTCGGGCTCACTGAGGCCTCTCTGTATCTTTCTGGTGTAGCCTATGGAAATTACTGTTGCTGGGGCAGAAAATGTTGGTTTAATTTCTAGCAGCAGCACCTCTTCCTCATTGAGTTCATTCAGTCCAGTAAGCACAAGAATCTTAGGGGATGTGCTATTTATTTATCTTTTTGTTCCAAAAGGTTTCTAACACAGTTTATTGAAGTTATGGATAATCAATTGAATTTTTAAATTTGGAGTCTAAAATTGAGAACACATAAAGACTTTTGTTGCATATTCATGGTTTGACTTTGCAAGATTAATAAGGATTTATTTCTGTGAACTGGCTGAGCGGTACCCACAGAGTTGCTGAGGGAGTTTTAGGTGATAAATGGCCAGCTGGCAGTGTGACTTGAATAAAGGTCCAGGCGTTTGCTCTTACAAGCTGCTTTTCTTTCCAGGTGTCAGAGCCTTTATGAAAATTGCGTCATTAAGCTTTTGCATCCTTTCCTTCACCCTTTCCCTTAACCTTCCCTCCTAGTTCACCGTGGTCTTTCTCTCAGTGTGAAGGCGATAGTTACTAACTCCTAGTAGTTACTAACTCCTGGTAGAAAACTCAGCCAACCTGGGTCAGGAACCAAATGAGAATTAGAGTAAGCCACTGGCCTGGAAAGGTGGTCTAGGGGTTCCTCAAAGAGGATATAGTCTAGGCCCAAGGGTGGCCCTGCTGGCCGCCCTTGCTGTCTGCAGGCTCCAGGTCTGCTGTGCTAGCCGACTCATGGACCCGCCCAAACAGGAAGGGTTTTGAAAAGCTCTTTCAAGCAGAACTAAGAGGAAAAGGCTTATTTACTTTGGTTGTAATTTGGGATTACAATTATATTGGGCTTAAAAATTTTCAGAAGTGGTTTGTTATCTTGTGTTTGCTTCAGTCATAAAAGAATAAATGTGTATTGGGTGTTCCTTCTAGAAAACTTGATGAAATCAGCCATGTGTGTTGGTACACATCTGTTAATCCTAGGTGGGGTCTGAGACAATCGAGTTGTTGAAAATTTCAGGCCAGTCTGAGCTACACAGTGAAACTTTTTCAAGAAGCAAAACAAAACCAAATCAAAAAAAGATAAGGAAAAGCTTGGTAAGCTGTGTGTACTGTTATACTCTGCGGGTGACATAACAGTCAAGAGGAAATGCATTTTCTACTAAACTTCTCATAGTTTTCCTCAGCTGTCAGTGCATATCAAGGAAAAATAGTCTAGCACAAATTTCAAAAATAATATTAAAAAAAGAAAAATAATATAAAAAAAGAAAGTTACTCTTACTACAGTCCAGTGGAAACCACTGCTATTGGTTAACAGTTTTATGCGGTTACTTCAACTTTTTCCCTATTTTGTTCCATAGCTAAGGTTTTATTAAGTATAAAAGTTACAGCTTCCTCCTTTCACTTGACGATATGAAAGTATTTGTTATTATTATTATTATTATTTTTTAAAACTTTTTGTATCTGCTGTGGAAATAGTATCACACTTAAAATTTAAGAATTAAAAATAGAATTAGTATAAAATCTTGCAGTTCTCCTCTTAAGTGTATACACACACACACACACACACACACACATGCTGAAAGCAGAGACCTAGGTATTTGTACAGTCATGCTCGTAGACACATTTTCCTGGTAGCTAAAACACAGAAGCAACAGTGTCTGTTGCTGACAATATAAGCAAAATATTATATGTGTGTGTGTGTGTGTGTGTGTATACTTAGGAGGAGAACTGCAAGATTTTATACACACACACATATATGCAGTGATATTACTCCACCTTTAAAAGAAAAATTCCCGGCCCCCAGTGCTAGAGATTGAACTCAGGACTTTGCACATGCCAAGCCAATGTTCTATCACATACCTATATTCCAGCCAGCAAGAAAAATCTAACATATGCTAAAACATGGAGGTGCCTTGAGAATGTTAAGCTGAGTAATTGAATTCATAGACATAGAAAGTAGAATAGCCATTGGAAGCATATGACAAAGTAGAGAAACAAGAGTTGCTATTTAATGAGCATAGAGTTTTAGTTTTATAAGATAGGGGGAGTTCTGAGGTTAAAACAAGAACTTTATACTTAAAACATCTTAAAATGGTGAGTGCTTCCATCAAAAATTTTATATACTGTTAGTTCGTCAAGATTAATTATCATTATTTTAATTTATGTTGTTGTTAAGTTTTTAGCTTTACCACTACCCATCTTTATAAAAAAAATAATAATTTTGCCCTTTTTTGAATTAGGAAAACATCTTATCTGCGCGTGTTGGGGTGGTTGGGTTTTTGTTTGGCTAGTTTTTTGAGACAAAGTCTCACTGTAGCCCTGGCTGGCCTGAAACTCACCGAGATTTGTCTGTCTCTGTCTCCCAGGTATGCTGGAATTAAGAATGACTGGCTTCATTGTTCCACTTTTCTTTTTTTCTTTTTCTTTTTTTTTTAATTGTTTTTGTTTTTTCAAGACAAGGTTTCTCTGTAGCTTTGGTGCCTGTCCTGGAACTAGCTCTTGTTGGCTGACCTCGAACTCACAGAG